GGCGGCGGGCCCTGGCCCGGGCACTGCAGCCGCTGGTTCCGCGGGGGTGACTCGGGGCGCGGGCGGAGCTGCCGCCCCTCACTCCCCTCCCTGGCATCCACCTCGTCACACCCGCCTTCCTGCTGCTCCCGCACGTTGGGGTGCAGCCACTGGTAGTAGGTGACCCTCAGCACCAGCCCCAGCAGGTAGCAGGGCAGGGCAGCAGAGACCACGGGCACAAGGTACCAATGCTCATCAGAGGGGAAGGGGCCGCAGAGCCAGGACAGGGCCAGCAGCGAGCTGTCCACCAGGATAAAGCTGTGATAGATGATGCTGCGGTGCAGGGTCCTCCCCTGTGCCACGTTGAACCAGCTGAAGTAAAGGATGACGGCCACCATGGCCCGGTAGAGCTGCTCAGGGCCAGGGGACTCCATGAAGTCCGTGCCCTGCAGGCTGACCCAGAGGAACATGGCCAGCCACACCAGCGGGAAGTGCACAGCCACGCCGTAGGGCCAGCGCAGGGCAAAGAGGGCAACAGCAAGGATCCGAGGGCAGATGAGGAAGAGGTTCCAGAGGAAGTAGACAATGGAGGAGCCCAGGCTCAGCACATACTTGTCCTGCAAGAAGGAGCGCAGGGACTGGTGATAGTCCAGCAGAGACCACGTCACACACAGGAATGCAGTGCAGATCCCCAGGCCTGCAAACAAGCATTGGAGATGCTGAAGGTGGAGCAAGGGAAGGCCCACCTGGCTCAAACCTCCCTCTGCCTGACTTTGCTGAAATGAGCTTCCCACCATCTCACAAAGTGGCTGCTGCAAAGGGGCAGAGCCTCAGCACCTGCTTCTCCTCCCTGGCCCTCCTGGCCTCGCTGGGCTGGTGCCCCGACTTGCCCAGCAGAGCTGAGGAAGGACTGACAGGACAAGCAGCTCTGCAGAAACATCTCCTGGCCAGGGAAGCCCACAGCTCACTAAGACTGGAGATGAGTGCTGGCTCCACCCAACCAGCACATGGTTGGGCTCCCTGTTTCACTGCAGTAACACTTGCTTTGCACACCGCGACAGGCACCAAAGCACCTCCTTGGTGGCCTGTGCTCCACCCTCTGTGCATATCCACACCCACAACAGCATCTGCCCACTCTGCTGCAGGATCCTGGTTTCTCTCCTGACCCTCAGACTCCTCTGGGGCATGTAGGGGAATGACCACAGAGACCCCCAAGCTTCAACCCTCCTACCCAAGCCCAGCATAGTCCATCGGGTCGTGTTAGCACGTTGGGCCAATGGCAAGAGGTTCAAGAAAGGCAAATGTCGGGTCCTGCACTTGGGCCACAACCCCCAGCAGGCCTGGGGCGGAGTGGCTGGAAAAGCTGCCCAGCAGAGGGACGGTTGACAGCAGCTGAACGTGAGCCAGCAGTGTGCCCAGGTGGCCAAGAAAGCCACCACCATCCTGACCTGCATCAGGAAAAGCAGGACCAGGGATATGATCCTTCCTGCCCCTCTACTCAGCACTGGTGAGGCCACACCTCGAGCACTGGGTGCAGTTCTGGGCCCCATCACTACAGAAAGGACATTGAGGGGCTGGAGCGTGTCCAGAAAAGGGCAAGGAAGCCGAGGAAGGGTCTGGAGCACAAGTCTGAAGAGGATCAGCTGAGGGAGCTGGGGGTGTCCAGCCTGGAGAAGAGGAGGCTGAGGGGAGACCTCATTGCCCTCTACCTGAAAGGACGTGGGGATCAGTCAGTTCAAAGAAGTTACGACTGACAGGACAGGAGGGAATGGCCTCAGGTTGTATCAGGGGAGGTTTAGACAGGATGTTTGGAAGAATTTCTTCACTGAAAGGGTCACCAGGCATTGGAACAAGCTGCCCAGGCAGTGGTGGAGTCACCATCCCATTTAAGAGTAGTACAGACACAGTACTTAGGGATATGGGTTAGCTAAGGACTTGTCACTGTTAGGTTAATGGTTGGACCCAATGATCTTTAAGGTCTTTCCCAACCAAGGCAATTCTGTGACAGGGACCCACCCTCCTGTGTGTCACACCAAGGGAAGGTGTGATGTGGGAGAATGGTCCTGCTGCCCCTGGACAGCCCATCTGGTCTGTCCCATCCAAGTCAGCTCTGGCCCCAAGCCTGCAGCCCCTCCCCTGGCCCCAGAACCCTCACCTTGGGAAGGATCTGCCTTGTTTGTCCGCAGGATGATGTAGAGGAGCAGGGTGAGCTGCGGGGTGTTCTCCAGGAAGGTCTCGAAGAGGCGCAGCATGCTGATGTCATGGGAGAGGAAGGCCATCAGGCTCCGCTCCTCCTCCTCGGCCGCCTTTGCCCAGCACACCTTCCAGCCCACCTTCAGGGCATAGAGGCACCTGCACGGGGACCCCGCCGGGGTGAGGGGCTGCGGGTCCCAGCGCAGCACAGCCCTGGCTCTAGCAGGACTATTGACAATGGCCCAATCTAAGCCCAAACCACTCCCTCCCGCTTCCCCAAACCAGCTCCGCAGCAGCCGCACCACTCCTGGCCCTGCACGGAGCTCCAGGCATCCCCCTCCACAGCAGCAGCCCCGCTACTTCCTTCCCCAAACCTCCGCCAGAGCTGTCGAGGCTCCGGGGCGCCCGCGGGCTCCGGCACAGGGAGCACAGACTGCCCGGAAAACTTCAGCTGAACTTCATGTGCCCGCGGGGGGCTCAGACTGACAGATTCCCACCCGGATCCAACCCGGGGCTGGACCCAGCGGGTCTGCCCAGGGACCCTTTGGACATCCTGGCACCCGGGGATGGGCGGACAGAGGGTGCCCAGGCGTGAGGGTGTTCAAGGGGTTCCCTGGGCAGAGCGGTGGATCCAGGGGGTCAAACACCGCCCCCCGCAGGAGCAGGATGAGGAGAGGGGAGGGAGGAGAAGTGGGGCGGAGGGGAGGCCGGGGAGGGGAGGCCGGGAGGAGAAGCCGTCCGGGAGGCTCTGGGGGCTGCAGCGGGAAGGCAGCAGGGGAGCCGGTACCTGAAGAGGAAGCCCAGCTGGAGGAGGTGCAGGGCGGCGGGCAGG